TGGTAATATAGAGAAAAATACAAAATTGTTAAATAATCTTTAAAAAATCGTTGATTTTGGGATTCTTAGGCCGTCGTTTTAAAGAATTTGATGAGCAAACTATTATCGCAAGTTCAATTTTATTGCATAAAATAATATTTACTTTCACTGGAAATTATGGAAAGTTGTACGATTCATAAAAGCGTGCAAATTTATTCCAGTGAAAATATATAAAGTGGTTATCATACTGTACTAAAGTATGAAACAAATTGCTTCTAAAAAATTAGATGAAAAATCCAAGAGCGTGTTAATATAGAGAAAAGCACAAAATGTTTAACTAATCTTTGAAGAATCGTTTAATTTGGGATTCTTAGGCCGTCGTTGGTTGGAATTTGATGAGAAAACCGATGTTGGCAAATGCAATTTTATTGCCATTAAATAATATTTGTTTTAAGTGGAATAAAAATTCGTTCTAGTGAAAATATATAAAGTGGTTATCATACTGCATTAAATTATGCAACATTCGTATAGCGTCCTGTTTTATTCATCCAAGGTTGATTTATTTCCGAAACTTCTTATTCTAATGACTCATTAGACGTTCTAAAGGCTGCTTCATATTCCAAAGAGATTGATTAAAATTCTTCGTAGAAAGCAAGGCCAAGGTTAAGATTCAACTCTGATTACTTCGAAGTGAATATAAATTATTCATTGATTTTTCAGTTTATTTATGTACCTTTGCAGTGGCTTTTAAAAAATATTTTGTCTTCTATTATGCATCGTTAACACACTCGAATTGTGACAAGCAAGTCGATAATTGCTCATTTATTACTCACGCCAATGTTTGTCCAATTGCATGTCTTGAGTTTCAAACTGACCAGTTTTCAAGTTCATAGACATTTGGTTTTGTTAGGAATTTTCCTTTAATTCCTGCAATTAATTACTTGGTTTTTTCATATGTTTTTTATTTGCGTCCAGAATAAAGGAGCATTAAAAGTTGCATATTGGGGGCCTTTTATTTAGGGCATGATCGTCCATGATTTATTGTCTAGTTCAAATTTTCTATTGTCATGTGGTTATTATTATCCAGGGAATATATCGACCCGAGCCAAATAAGGCCTTTTGGGGCATTCAATTTTATTTTTCAACATTTGTTTATTATAAATTATTACTCCCTTTTCCTTTATTTATTTCTCAACATTGTCAACATTGAATTTCTCAACATTGAAAGTAACAAAAAGTTCTGCACAAAACAGGTCTCATACGTAAAACAGTGATAATTTAAAATCAATTCAGGTCAGTAGGGCATAGTTGTAGCCCTTTAGGTACGTGTGAAAGCGTTCATATGCATGCAAGTGATGTTGAAATCCTTCGACATGCATTGTTTTGTACGCATTTATATAAATAACAGTAGTTTAACAGTGTTTTATCACACACGTGGTAGAAGCTGGTGGTTTTTGTATTTTTTGCCATTAAAACACAATTTTTTAGAAATTATTTCAATGAAATTTTAGTGGCAAAGGTCGAAGATTGTCGATAGAATTATTGTTGGATTTTGATTAAGAAAATTATTGTACAAAACAAAAATGTGCATGTGGATTTCTTCGAGATTAAAACATAAGCAGATAAAAAAATAAAAACATTTTGAACTTTATATTAAAGCCAGAGCTAATCCAACATTTGAAATATTAATCAACTTACGTCTTTGCTTTAATATTCACATCCGAAAGCACCGGTCAATTTATCGACAAATCGTTTTCACCTTGCGGCATTTGAACTGTTTGACATCGACCGGATACCGGAAAAAATACACGTTTTTCTCCCTGGACGCCGATCTAAACCACAATGCGGCCGTCGCGGCGCTCTTTAATACCAAACTGTTTACAGTGACCATTGGCTAACCCCTCGACCCGCGTCGCGACGACATGCATAGGCGTAACAACAAAACATTTCTTTCCATTAGTTTTCAGTTACATTTTGTTAGCTTTTTTGCGTTATTTTATTAAAATTGATCAACTGGGTTGTTGCGCGCTTTTCGCATTTTCTCCTGAGTCAACACTGTTTACTTTCAAGATTTCGGCTATGTTTAGCCATCATCAGGAGCTCTGGAAGGAAGCAGAGTACCTTTACCGCTAGGTCTAAAAGTTGTGTTTTTCGAAAGCCCCCTTGAGTAAAAACCCCGCTAATCTGGTAATATCTTATAGACTGCAGGATTTCAGTAACCTCAACCACAACATTTATTAATATTTGTATTTTTTTGTTAAAATTTTTTTCTGACCACAGTCGGCGCTTTATATAGGCCTCAAAACCTCATACGATCCTTTCAATATTAACTATTACTAATGATTCTCGTGAGTGACGTGAATCGGTTAACTCACTTCCTTTGAGAGACCGCATTTACTTTGCCACGTCAACGTTAAATTGTAGTTTCCTCTTTCTAATTTTTCTTTTCTTAAATTAATTTGAAACTATTTTAAAACCCGCAAAAATCTTAGGTTTATATGCGAACTGTGAATTAACGATAAACTGTTAATTTCATATACAATGAAGAATACTTAATCCACTGATGTAAATCCAGCCTGATTCAAAAGATGCCGCATTTGCGATGTAAATGTGGTCAGCAGAACGCTTGAACTACTGTCGGACTGGTAGTGCAAATATCACTGTCAGCGATAAGTTTTGACATTAACGTGGCAAGTGGATGCAAAATATTTATTTTCTGTTAGTCCTTTTATTGGGAAAAGTATTAAAAAATGGTGATTTATCTGTGATACGATCTGCTGATGAATATCCAGTGGAAATAGTTCTAGTGCTTTAATCGCCAAGCGCGAGTGTGAATAGTTCCATTAGATGCAATTCTGCAACTCATCTGGATGAAGAGTTTCTAAAATATTGTTGGCCCTATTTCAGAAATACGAACAATGGCTTTAAAGAAAGTTAAAGGGAATATCGAACGAATGTTCGACAAAAATTTAACCGATTTGGTGCGGGGAATTAGGAACAACAAGGAAAATGAGGTGAGATCAGCGGCTGGCGGTTATCCAAACTCCAATTTCACCTAAAACTCTTCGATTACAGGCAAAGTACATATCTCAGTGCATGGAAGACATTAAGCAGGAATTGAGGCAAGATAATCTTGCAGTTAAGAGCAATGCCATCGCCAAACTGACCTATGTGAGTAGTTTCTTCATTCACAAACACTGATAATCAAATTTGGCTTTCAGCTACAAATGTTGGGCTATGACATCTCTTGGGCAGGCTTTAATATAATCGAAGTGATGAGTTCGAATAAGTTTACCCTAAAAAGAATTGGCTACTTAGCAGCCAGCCAATCGTTCCATTGCGATTCTGAGGTACTTGCTGCCTTAATTGTGTTTATTCCACGACTTCACTAAATTCATTCTAGCTGCTCATGCTGACAACCAATATGATTAGGAAGGAACTGAACTCCCAAAATCAATACGAAGCTGGGCTGGCATTAACTTCACTTAGTTGTTACATTAGCACGGATTTGGCCAGGGACTTGTCAAACGATATTCTTACTTTGGTAAAAAAGCCCGCTTCTAAGTGACTTTAAAACGCCAAAAACCCCTGTTAAATTCCAGCTAAGTTCAACGAAGCCCTACATAAGAAAGAAGGCTGTTTTAATGATGTATAAAGTCTTTTTGAAATATCCTGAGGCTTTGAGGCCGGCTTTCCCGAGACTGAAGGAAAAGTTAGAAGATCCTGATCCAGGTACTACTCAACTAGTAAACGTTTCTTGATTTTGATTTCCCCACTGCTTCGCAGGAGTCCAGTCTGCGGCAGTGAATGTGGTTTGCGAATTGGCCAGAAAGAATCCCAAAAACTACCTGAGTTTGGCTCCAGTGTTTTTCAAACTTATGACTACAAGTACAAACAATTGGATGCTAATTAAAATTATTAAACTTGTAAGTAATCATTTCTTCCGTTGGCGAATTGCTCAATTTCTGTGTTTTTGATAACCAGTTTGGTTCCTTTACTCTTGAAGAACCGCGAATAGGACGCAAATTGACTGAACCACTTTTACATTTGATTTCAAGGTATATTTCGGGTTTTTTGTAGTTTGGTGCTCTTACTCCTCTAGAACCTAGGCTAGGCAAAAAGTTGATAGAACCTTTAACAAATTTAATTCACAGGTGGGTAAAAATATGTCGCCGGCTTAGTTGAGAGTACTTTGCAAGTCACTGGAATTTTTGTTACACTTATTTTAACTTTTAGTACTTCAGCGATGAGTTTATTGTATGAATGCATCAACACTGTAATAGCGGTTCTTATAAGTATTTCATCTGGGATGCCAAATCATGCTGCCAGCATACAGTTATGCGTGCAAAAGCTCCGGATACTCATTGAGGATTCAGATCAAAACTGTAAGATATAGCTGCGGAAACTGCGAGGCAAATGTTAGTTTTTTGGGGATTTTAGTGAAATATCTTGGACTCCTTGCCATGTCGAAGATCTTGAAAACGCACCCGAAAAGCGTACAAGCCCACAAGGATCTGATTTTGCAGTGTATGGAAGATAAAGACGAATCTATCAGGCTCAGGGCATTGGACCTGCTTTACGGAATGGTCAGTTTTGAAGTGCGATGTTTTCTAGGTGTTAATGACTGTTCCGATTCAGGTGTCCAAGAAAAATCTAATGGAAATTGTGAAGAAACTCATGGTCCATATGGATAAGGCCGAAGGCACTGTTTACAGGGACGAGCTGCTTAGCAAAATTATTCTGATCTGCTCCCAGAATAACTATCAATTTATCACCAATTTTGAGTGGTATATTACAGTTCTAGTAGAATTAGCCCAGATGGAATTCGGAAGCAAACAGGGTAGGTTGCATTGGTTTAGTTACCACTGAACAGGGTTGCTGATGTTTGGTTCAATTTTTCCTGCAGGCCATGTAATAGGATCGCAATTAATGGACGTTTGTATACGAGTGCAAGCCATAAGATCGTTCGCAGTGACTGAAATGGGACAGTTATTGGAAGTGTACACTTCAACTTCTCAATTTACAATCATGCAGGAGGTCCTGTATGCGGCTGCTTGGTTAACAGGAGAATTTGCTAGGTAAGAACATTTCTTCCTTCTCCTTTATTGGTCGATTTTTCAAGATTTCCATATTCCAGCGAGCTGGAAAGCCCCGAAAACACCCTGCGCAGCATGTTAAAGTATAAATCTTTGCCGCAACACATCGAATCGGTTTTCATTCATAACATCGTAAAACTGTTTGCTCATATAATGGAAAAACATGAAGCTGCAGGAAATTACGATGCTATTTTGGAACTATCCGATTCCATTGCCTGCAAAATGAACGAAAGCATCAAATCAGGGGAATTGGAGGTCCAGGAAAGGGCCAGCACGGCTTTGATCATCATCGACATTGTTAAGGAGGAAATCGCAGCAAGTAACTTTGCCGTAATTTAACAAAGCAAGCTGACTGTTTCATGAGAAGCACTGTCTCTTTCAGAAAACAGCTCAAAACTGATGGATGATATAGAGGATCCCCTAACAAGCCAGCCTGAAGAGTTGGTGGCAAGCGAGATTTTGAGTTTATTCAAAGGCGAACTTAATCCAGTAGCGCCCAAAGCGCAAAAGAAGGTTCCCGTCCCGGATGGGTAAAAAACGGGCTTCCGCAGTTGGCTTAACATTAATACGGTAATTTCCCTGTTATAGACTTGACTTAGATGCCTGGATTAATGAGCCAATACAGTCCGAGTCGGACTCAGACAGTGAGCCGGACAATACAGAAAATTTGTTTGTAAAGTCGGAAAAATTGGATTACGGCAACAAGTATCAGTACGAGCCCACCGAAGAGGATATTAAGAAGGTGACTTTCTAAGAAAATCATCGTCTGGCAGTGGAAGCATGCAGTTGTTTTTCTAGAACCGAGAAGCTCGTAAATCCGAGCAACAGAATAATCCCAATTACCTCAAAGGCAGTCTCGACTCAGAGCAAAGCAGCAATGGGCATGATAATGTCGAAACTATCTCAGTGGCGGAGCTAAATCTCGATCTGCCCCCGCTGAGGGTGTTGGGCGAAAAACGGTCCGACAAATATCTGAATCTTCACAAGGACAAGACCAAAGGCAAGAAGAAAAACAAGAAAAAGAAGAAACACCGAAAATCGGAAAGGTAACTTGTAGTTTCTGATGTGAGTCAAACTGAAAACGGGGTGTTTGGGACATTTGCAGCTCTTCCGATGAAAACCTGGATGTTGCCGCAGTTGTCGAGGTGAAGCAAGTTATGGAACTGCCAGAAGGAGCCACACTTTCGGACTCAGATAGTGATCATCATCGGCTGGACGATCCGCACAGGGCGTTAGATATAGATCTGGATCTGTAAGTGGCAAAACCACACATTTTATCTATCTAATCAAACGAATTTTGCATTTTTAGGCCTCCCATTAGCGAGGTTTTGGCGAAAAAACCACCAGAAACAGTAGATAGACCCCAAAAGGAAAAGAAAAAGTCAAAAAAGAAAGTTGGTTTGATTAAATTTCACTTAAAAATCTCGTTTCTACACCAACGTTTTAATGTTCTAGGAAAACAAAGGTAAAGAGAAGAAGCCCGAGAAGCATAAATCCGAGAAAAGGAAAAAGGCCAAAGTGGAAAATTTGCTGGAACTCGATAAAGGTGCAGATGGTGAGCCCAAAGCGGAAAATAAGACCAAGAAACCGAAAAAGGATAAGAAGAAATCAAAGGAAAAAGGAGGTAAGTTAAAAACAGCCTAATTGAAATGTGGCGTTATGGAATGACTGATTTTTAGCCAAAAGTAAGACTAAAAATTCCACGTCTGGTTATGAGGAGGCTTTGGGTATATCAACTCCAACTAAAGAGATCTACCCGAGTTAAAATATTTTATGTTGCAATAGTTATATTTTTTATGCTTTAGGATTGAATAAAACATTTAGTTAACTAATGATTTACAGTTAAATCTCCATGGTTTGCAGTTGGGAATTTTACCGTAATTCCATACTTGTTCAAATGTAAATCTATCGCTAAGAATGCAAGGTTTTTAACGAATTGTTGGAGACAGGAATTGTCCATTTTAATGTTAAGACTTAAGCTCTATTGAACAACAATAATAGGTTTAAGTTTAGGTGTTAGTCAACATCAATCTTCATATATAGATGATTCTATTTAAACATCTAATTACTGTCCACCTCCGGTTTTTCCTGTCTAGAATGTAGTTCCTTAATAGTGTCCTTAAACTCCAATTTCTACTTGGCTCGAATTAAAATCACCACTTTTCTCGGTCACAATTCAGCAATGAACCAAAGATAACGAGGAACATTTCGGAAGAAATCATGACGTTTTAACGGTTGTTGATTTGTGATTACAATCCTAAAACGCTTATATCCGTATATTGTCCATTAAATTATTCGTAACCATGTATTACAAATTATAATCAAACAACAAGGTTATTTTAAATGAATTAAAAATGCTTTTATAAATATAGTTTTTTATTTGCATTAAATCCATATAGCTTTCCTTAAATCCATAAAGTGATGATGATTGTCTAGATGTTTTATAGAGATCTTTAAAATGTACATTTGCCGGTGAAAGTTGAGAAACTTGTCAACGTTTTTTTTTCTAAATTGAGTAATCGCTTAGATAAGTTTACTTGGCATTTCAAACCTGAGTTTTCAATAGTTTTTGGAATTAAAGTTGAATAATTCCTTTCGATCGGAAACTACAAGCATTTATGAGCGATTTATCACTGTTTATCTTTGCTGTTCTTCGAGTTGGATCTGCAGAATATAATTCATTCCTTTCTTCGTTGGTGTGAAAAATCTCATTCTTTCTGTGGATTATATGTAAATAAATGTATTATTAATTAGACACTATTCAGCTTAATCAGTTGAGATGACGGGCGAGGTTAAAAGCGGTTTGTTGTAGAACATCGCTTGAGTTTTTTTCTTCAAAGCATTTTTGATTTTTCGATTGATTCATCATATCTATTTTTAAATTTAGAGTTTATTTTGTTTTCCCAGTATTTGTTGGCCACCATAGAAAATAAAGCGATTTACATAATTTAGCGCACATTTACAGTGATTGGATTAATGCCTGAAAATACTTAATTGCAGCTAAGAATATTTATTGCGGTTTATCTACTTAATAAGTATAATAGTTTATTTTTATTTGGAATAGGAATCAATATCCCACGTGTAGTTTGGGATTTATAGGTTTTTTGCAAAAAAAATCAATTTTATCAGCAAAATGTAAAGAAACTTAATTATTAAATATAAGAACTAAAACCAATTCGTTTTTTAAAAGAATCAAAACTTACTTCTGAATTCAACAAGAAAGAAGCACTAAATTAACTAACAAAATCCTGTTTTTTTATTTATTTCAACAAAAACGCAATGTAATGAAGTTTTTTCTTAGGAGTAATTTAGAGTTTTTCCGGAATGAAGAAAAGTTCTGAAAAAATCAGCGAAACTGTTTCTAAATTAAGTGGTGGAATGTAAAATATGTATTAACTAATCTACTCCCTTTTTAATTATCAAACTGTTTCAAATACTATTTATTATATGTTTTTACTGTATTCTAAATTCATCTAATAAATGTTTTAATCCCTATTTTCAAATCCTGGCAAATACTCAAATGGCTTGTCTACTAATCGGTTTTTTTCTTTTGTATACAGATCCGATATTTATCCTTCCAAGTTTTTGCAATCCCAACCTGTCGGCGAATCGAATGCACAATTTTCGAAATTAGCCCACTTATTTCTGGTAGGGAAACGATCGAATCAACGGAAATTGTAAGCAAATTTCCAAAAAAAGGGTTTGTTTGGGTTAATTTCATCAAAGCGATAGAAAACCATAATTGGCCCACTTCCTTGGCTCGTCTTTTGATAACCCAAAAAGCGTCCATATAAAATAACATTTACCGAAGAGTCAGAGGATGATTACGGTATGAGTTAGAATTCGGTGAGACGATGATGGAAGTTTATAGGAACAATTCCAACAAACTGTTTTCAATGCATATCCGCAGTATTTGGCTTAGTGCCAGGTGGAAAATAGGCAGCGATTTAAACTCTTGATTTATTAGTTCTTTTTTTATTTTTCTAGTTTTTGCAACTTTTTTCAAATTTTTTTACATTCAGTAATGTATCGCACACTTGCTGTGAATTATGAATTAAAAAATAGAAGATTTTGAAATAAAAGCTGAACATTTTTTACGATTTTCCCATCTTGAAATGCTGATTTCTGTCCATTCCCATAAAATGGCATAAAAGATCAATTTAAGTTGTAGATAAGTTCTATATTGTTGAGGCGGATTCATTTTTTACAAACTTCTTTTTGGGTATTTCGCCTCAAAAATTTTTTACTTTAAAAAAGACAGAATTTCCTCACGTTTTTATTACAGATTGATAAATTGTGCTCCTATTTCGCAATAAGAACGAATTATTTATCGAAAAGTAATCAAGAACTATCACCTAGAGGGTATCCTGCGACATTTGAAAAATTACCTTGAAAAATTTCAAAAAAATTAAAATTAATTTTTTTACTAATTGGAATTTTCTCTTACAGCTTGAGCCTAAGTGTGTCTCAGGATACCCTATAGGTTCTTTATTACTTTTTGATAAATAATTCGTTCTTATTGCGAAATAGGA